TACATGGTTTTTTACTTTGGCTAAGGGAAAAAGTTGTAAGATTCAAAACCAATCAAAGTTGCAATTCCAAACATCCCAATTCTCACCTATTGCAAACAACCCTCCATCAAGAGTCTCAAATGTTTTCAAGAGTTAGAACTCGAAAGTCACCCCTCTCTAAATCCCCTTTACACTCGATAGAGTGAACCTTAGGTTGATGACTATGGGCTAGATGAAGATCTTGGAGTAAATGATGACTATGGGCTAGATGAATTGGAGCGAGATCCTCGGATCATTTAGGTTGATGATTTGGAGATAATGAACTTGTTATTTGTGTCTTGTTGTGATTGTGACTTGTGGTTGAATTGTGGGCATGTAGACTTTATGTTGTGGAGTTGTGGTTGAATTGTGTGGTTGCTTTAGGCTTTATGTTCAATTGATTTAGATGACTCTATGGTGTGTGATATTATAGAGACTGAAACAAAAGCAGGTCACTAAAAATTGAGGGTGAATCATTAAAAAAGGTGGTTGAAATTCGGTTTTGGGTGGTCGGTTTCTGAACGAAAACCGAGAAAGTGAACCAGAACCTGCGGTTTCGGTTAACCGCAAGGGAAAACTGAAACCGATGTTTGCAGTTTTCGGTTAACCGAAGTCTCTGCCGGTTTCGGTTAGTGATCTTGGGACAATTTTGGTTGCGGTTAACCGATATTTCGGTGCGGTTAAACCGAAACGGCACTGACTAACACCCCTAACGGAAACCATCTGTAATGGAAGGTCGCTTTACGTAATGAGTATTAACCTCGTATTACGTAAAGTCCTAAGTCATTACGAAAACCTTAGGTAATGCTTCTAATTTAACTGTTACGTAAGAAATAACTATATTTCGTAACCTTTACGTAATGTGTATTAATTACAATAACTAAATAATAAAAAAGAAAAACAAGACCCATAAAATAGGAAAAGGAAAGTTATTACTAGGGGTAGCCATTCGTGTTCGGTTTTTTGGGTTTACCCGAAACCGACCCGATTATATACATTTTCGATTTTTCGGGTTCGTTTCAGGTTTCGGGTTTTTCGGTTTCGGGTTCGGTTTTTCTTATCGGTTTTTTGGGTTTCGGCTAAAACCTCCAATGAATAGAACTCAGCCCGTATTCTTAGCGTTCGGGTTTTTGGGTTTCGGTTTTGCTTTAACCGAACTCGGACCGAATAAAGAATTTTCGGGTTTCGGGTAACCGGAACCCGCAAGTTCTTATCAGGTTCGGGTTCGGTTTCAGTGATTCTCGATTTTGGGTTTTCGCGTTTTTTCGGATTTCGGTTCGGGTAACCGAACCCTACCCGAACTGACACCCCTAGTTATGAGTTATGACAGAAAAAAGATTAGAAAAAGGAAACAAATGTTCCCGCTAACAAAAAGAAACCGGCACCGCCCGTTGCCGTTAATTCTTTTTTTTTCCTTTTTAGAAAATTCCTACAATACCTTGAAGTTATGGTAACTTGATATTTTTGACCTGCTATAACAGGTTTCACAAGTCGCATTACGTAAAATACAATAGGCATTACGTAATGGTTACGTAATGTGTGTTTATCTTACGTAATAGTTGAAAAATGTCATTACGAAAACCTTACGTAATAGAGACTCATTTTACGTAATGAATATTAACCTTTCATTACGTAATCTGTTGAATCATTACGGAAGGCTTACGTAACACTTCTAATTTAACTGTTACGTAATAAATAGCTATCGTTACGTAACCTTTACGTAATAGATGCATACTTTACGTAACAGTTGTAAAGTGGCATTACGAAAGCCTTACGTAATGGATGCTCCTTTTACGTAATGATATTAATCAAGTTACGTGATGTGGTAAGTCATTACGGAAGTCTTACGTAACACTTCTAATTTAACTGTTACGTAAGAAATAACCTTTGTAACGTAACCTTTACGTAATGAGCGTGTATTTTATGTAACAGTTGTAAAATGTCATTACAGAAGCCTTATGTAATAGACGATGCATTTACGTAATGAATATTAACCTAGCGTTACGTAAAATGATAAGTCGTTACGGAAACCTTCCGTAACGCTTCTAGTTTAACTGTTACATAAGACTAACAAGCATTACGTAATTGTTACGTAATAAACATTAGTTTTACGTAGCGCGACCTACAAAACCTGCTATAGCAGGTCAAAAACGTCAAGTTATAGTAACTTCAATGCATGGTAGGAGGTCCCTCCTTTTTAATCAACGGTTCAAGTAATTATAATTTATTTTGATGGTTCAGATCTAATCAAGTTACCTAATTTAAAATTATACCCAAGTTACCGTATGAAATCCCTAAAATTATATAAATTTCAAATAAAAAAGTATAAGCAATAAAATTGGAGTTGTTAACGTCGTCCAAAAAATTAACAATTTTACCTTGTTTACACTAGTTTACACTAGTTTACCTTTTTATGTCTCTCATTTTCACCCAATAAACACACCAAATTTGTGTCGAGACTGACCAATCTGGGGTTAGACCGAAGGTTTAATTTGATTGCACTGCGGCTCGAACCAAAAAAGGGCCTTATGTGCAACTGGGCGCAAAAGAAACTTGTTTACGTTAAGGATGGCGACAAATCGGATTGGGTCAGATTTCTCCAGATTCAAATTCAACCTAGCAGTTGCATTCGTCTAGACCAAGGTTGTCAAACCGGTTTATACCGTTGTGTCGGTTTGGCAAGTGGAATGGTACGACCGGTGGTATAACCAGTTTGTGCCGGTTCATACCGGTTTAGAAAAGTGTAAAAACAATTAATATCCAATGTATTTAATCATATATAAAGCATATTTGTGGACAATTAAGTTACAATCCAACAAATATCATCAACTTTTAACTATTAAATTCATAAAATGAATGATAAATTAATTTTTATATTAATTAAATTCATTAAAATGATATTAATTTCCTTAAAATACGTAAGTCAATCATACCGGTCATACCGGTAGTGTCATGCCGGTTTCAGGACTGGCACAGGTTGAACCAAGTTCAACCGGGTGGCATGCCACCGGCATGACAACCATGGTCCAGACAAACTGGTAAAATATCCACTGAATTTTAGAAGATAAAATACAACCTTAATTCAGTGGGTATCCACCGCTTCATGGATATCCATAGGTTCACGAACATACATTAGACTCTCATTTGGTAACACCCAATGTTAAACGAGCAATACTTCAAACAAAGCACAACTTAGTTCGAGATATGAGCACGATTGTCTGAAGGCAGCAACGATGGCGAAGGGGTAGGAACATTAGGCTCTCATTTGGTAACACCCAATGTTAAACACATGTTGTATATACCACTAATCATTGCTCGTTCTCTTAAGTTTCTAACCCTTGGCATTAGCCAGTAAGAGCTATGTCAAACTCAGAGGCAAAGAATCATTAATCCTAACTAGATAGCGTGTCTCAGAAGATTTCTCTTTTGGTTGCTACGTACATGAGTTTTCAGGAAAACTTGTCGAATATATTTTCAGAGGTGACAACTGCAACATAATCCTTCTGGACATTTATTAATTATAACATGTTCACAGTTATTGTTGATGACATGGACTATACATTTGATGACTTGTCTTTGGATTTGTTGGCTTTGTTCATCAATCATGTAATTGTTCCCTTTTTATTAGGAAATGTACACAGTACAACCAGGGCCGGCCCATGATATTCGGAGGCCCTGTTTGAAAATAAAAATGTGGCCCTAAATTTTTTTTCAAGCACCACTAGACAATCAACTAATCCAAATTTCCAAGCAAAATCCCTCAAAAAAACATAAAATTGGTTAGGAACTTATAATGATCACTCAGCCCAAAACAAAATTAGGCAACCCATTCCAATTTAGGCCAGCCCATTCCAATTTCGACCCGGCCTGGCGACCCCATTCCTTCTCTCCATTCGGCATCTCCAATCAGCAACAGAAGCAGAGTAAGAAGAACAGAAGAAGAACAGAGTCTCCAAAATCCAGTAGACAGCACACAAGGAATAAACAAAAGACAAGACATGGGCACAAAATTCTTATCGATTACCGAACTACGACGGACAGACGGAAGTCGCCAAGTCGGAAACAGGGGAAGAAGGCGAACGCCGAGCGAGACTACGGGAGCGCCAGAGCGGTAAAGTCGGAGTAAGAGATTGATCTCGTCGGTGGAATGAAAATGGAAGGAAGAATCTGCCAATTTGGGCGGATGCTTTGCTTCACCTTCTTGGCTGAGTATTTTAGGGGGAAGGATTGGGTTGATTATGAAGAATTAAAGACAAACATTGATTTAGAGACGTTGTTTTCTTTTGGGAAGGTGAGAAATTTGGGGAAGGTGAGCAATTTGGGGAAAGGAAATTTGGGGAAGGGGAGATTACGATTTATGAGATTTGAGAAAGACAAGGGAATAAGGAGGCTGGAGGAGCAGGCTGGGTGAGGGCCTCTGCCGATTCGTTTTCTCAGGTTAAATTTTTTTTTTTAATATATATGTATAGTGTATGGGCCAAGCTGAGGCCCCAAATATTTTGAGGCCCTGTGCTATGGGTCAGACCAGCACAGGGTCTGGGCCGGGTCTGAGTACAACCAATGAGTTAATTGCATGGTTGGTCACTGAGATAACAAAAAACGTTCATGTTTGGTCACTGAAAATATTTAAATCCAATCTTGGTCACTTAAATTAGTTAAATGGTTCAAGTTTGGTCACTCTCCGTCCAACTCCGTTAAATATGTCTGATATGGCAGTCAACCCTCAAAGTTGACTGTTAACTCGGTGACGTGGCAATTAAAAAATAATAAATAAAATAAATTTTAATATTCTACCATTTCCAACTCATTTTCACAATAAAGTAAAATAATAAAAATATATATTATAATGCGGACAAAAAAAATGGTTCGTCGACTGCGATTTCCTCTACCTGGCCGACATCAAGGAGCTTCGCGATCTGGCCGACGATAAGTACGCCATCATGTGCGTCCACCATGACTACACCCCGAAGGAAACCACAAAGATGGATGGCGCCGTCCAGACAGTTTACCCGAGGAAGAACTGGTCCTCCATGGTTCTCTACAACTGCGGGCACCCGAAGAACAAGGTGTTGACCCCGGAAGTTGTGAATAGCCAGACGGGTGCTTACCTCCACAGGTTCCAGTGGCTTGATGATGGAGAAATTGGGGAAGTCCCCTTTGTTTGGAACTTCTTGATAGATGTATAATCTACTTCTACGATAAACTACAGAGAAAACTAATAACTCTAGGGTTTATTCTTCGCATAATCCGCCGAATGACATAACAAGGGTTTATATAGTTGTCTAACCCTAACCGACTAATGGCAATATAGTAAATAACAATAATACGATAAATAGCGTGTATGTATACACGCATAAATCTCTTCCCCTTCAAGCATAACCTTGTCCCCAAGGTTATTCTCTGACATCATCCGGAAAATCACCGACCATCAAAAACAACTCCTGGCCTGCACAACGATGACCGATCGTGAATCGCTCATCACAGTTGAAGCACAACCCGTCTCTCCGACGCCTTGCTATCTCTGTTGGGGTACGCTTGATAGTTCCGAACGGAACGTTGGGTGGTGCCCGCGCTGGTGCAGCCACGTTCCCGGTCATCGGTGCTTCCAACACAAGACGCATATCTTCCAACTCCTCCTCCCTCCCCTTCGCCAATCGAAACGCCTCTCGTAACGATTGAGGCTGGAACTGGCGAACTCCACTAGCAATTGCTGGTTTTAAGCCTGCCAAATAAGCATTGATCAGAGTACTCACAGGCCAGCCCCTACATCGATACGCCAGCTTCTCGAACTCGAGCCTATGCTCATCAACTGATCCGGTCTGTCTCAGCTTCATATGTTTTTCTTCACTCGCACCTTTGCTAGCAGGTTCGAATCTAGACCAATTCCTTGAAACGCTCCCACGTCACCACTTCCCTGTTAGCCTCCATTGTATACTCCAACCACTGCCACCATTGCCCCGCATCGCCTTCCAAGTAGAATGTTGCCCATAAAACTCTTTGATCTTCTGATATCCCTTGATACTTGAAGAAGCGTTCAGCTCAAGAGATCCAAATTGTTGCATTCTCCTGACCGTTGAATTTTGGGAAGTCCACCTGTGGTGGCTTGACTTTGAAAACTTCCTGAAATCCAACTCCTCCAACTCTTTCGTACGCTCCGAATCCACCTTGAATCGGAGCACCCCAACCTACCCCAAACGGAACTGGTCTGCCCTGTTGCTCAGAATATCCCGGTCCAATCCAAATTTGGTCAGCCCGGTTTGCTGTCCGGGATGGACCGGATGCGGTCCCAACTTCCCCACCTGCCATCCCGCCACTTTGTTGCTGGACAAAAGAATGTCCCAAATTATTCCCATTGACCAAATGATTCAAATAGTTACCATTATTTGCTCCACCCGAAAATGCCGCACTTCCACCATGGAGACTTCCTCCATGTCCATGATTCCCTCCATCAGCAGCGTGGAAATTAAAGGGACCTTCCCCAGTCGATGGCCCATCAACCGCAAAACTGCCATCCACCACATGGCCGCCTCCTGCACGAGTTCCGTATAATAAGGCCCCGGTGAGGCCACCCATATTTGGCCCAAGCCCGTTTAGGCCCATTCCGGTAACACATTGAGTAGGCCCTGCGTTGTAACCCGGCGGTCCGAACCCTAGCGGCGCTGTCCCTCTTCTCCTTCTCGCCTCAGCTTCATCCACTGCCAAGCTTCCCCACGCGGCGCAAGTGGCAGAAATGGTGGAGGTCAGTTGTCCCATCGAACGAGAACTTGCCCCACGGAAGTATCCAGTCGTGCCGAATTGAATCGCCGGCGTTGCACCAGAACCGACTTCCTTCGAAGGGGTCGACGAGTTCTTCTCATTCACGTGAGAGCTTTTTTGGACAACCTCCTCCTCCACTGCCTTCTTCTTCTCACCGCCCGGAATTTGGTCGATTGTTCTCCTCGCTTCAGAAACACCTTCAGGCAGCGTTGGTTTCTCTCTAGCAAGAATGAGTTCCTCAAGCCTTTGGACGGCAGCGGCGACCCCCGTGACCTGCACACGCAACTCTCGGACGTCGGCCACCACTTGCTTTTGGCCTTCATGGAGAACACTCACGTTAGACTTGAGGCCCACCAAGTCCGCTTCATACCCTTGTGCCTTTAGATGTTGTTCTTCTAGTCGGACAGCGGTTTCATGTTGGCGGTCAATGATATCCTGAAGCTGCGGCGAAGTTTCTTCACCGACACCTACTTCTTGCAACACCGACGACGTCAGATTCTTTCGAGGAGGCATGGTAATCGAATTGCGGATCAACCGGCTCTGATACCAATTGATAGATGTATAATCTACTTCTACGATAAACTACAGAGAAAACTAATAACTCTAGGGTTTATTCTTCGCATAATCCGCCGAATGACATAACAAGGGTTTATATAGTTGTCTAACCCTAACCGACTAATGGCAATATAGTAAATAACAATAATACGATAAATAGCGTGTATGTATACACGCATCACTTCTTTTGTTCTGCTTCTCTTGAACCAGAGGTATAAAAGGAAGAACAAGTAGTATACTAATTACCAAGACAGTGACGGATTTGGAGTAGAACCCAGATTCAGAAATGCCCCCAATCGATCTCCAGGGACGGGATTGACGGAGAAAATGTCCAGCGGGCAAGTGAACCGGGTGGGATCCGAGAGGGAGATCCCGAATCGAGGGAAAAACAGGGGAAGAGGAGTCGAATCAGTAACCCGCAATAAATGGATGGAGAAAATGAAGGATTGATTTTGATAAGTTGATTTGATTGGCTGATAGAGTTGAGGTCATTGCGCGGAAGAACTAAAGAGTAAATGCAGACAAAGGAAGATTTTGGAGGAGACGCAAGAATTGTGATTATAATAATTTTTTTTATTTTACTTTATTGTGAAAATGAGTTGGAAATGGTAGAAGATTAAAATTTATTTTATTTATTATTTTTTAATTGCCACGTCACCGAGTTAACGGTCAACTTTGAGGGTTGACTGCCACATCAGACATATTTAACGGAGTTGGACGGAGAGTGACCAAACTTGAACCATTTAACTAATTTGAGTGACCAAGATTGAATTTAACTAATTTCAGTGACCAAACATGAACGTTTTTTGTAATCTCAGTGACCAACCATGCAATTAACCCGATTCTAAAGTCAGGTATTTTCAATTTTCAACAACATCAATGTTTAAAAACAAATATTTTAATTTAATAGACTCGATAGTAGCAATTTACTGAAATTTGTTGGCTTTACTCATCCATAATTATATTGTTTTCTTTTGCCGGAAAAAACACACTATACCAGTTGATCATCCAATATATTCTAACGTAATGATGTTAGAAAAACAAAACATGTACTAGTTTAACCAACTTGATGGTTGTATTGTCTCATAAATGGTTCCAACCTTTCTCCCATTAGTTTCTAGCAACGAAATTAGCTAATAATGGTTTAACCTAGAAATGATGTGCATTAATCACAAACTACGAACAACCATTTGACAGACGTCTCAGTTATCACTGACAGAGAAATTCTGTTATCAGTTCCCGCGTAAAATCAGTTAGCAGCTAGGTAAATGACTTGTCAAACAAACGCGATTATCATTAAATTCAGTTTGGCTTAGTTGCACCGGGCTCTCTTAATCCGCTCATCGCCTTAATTATAATCCATCTTCTTCCTTCCTTTCCTTCAATCATCTCTACCGTCTGCAATTTCAGCTCCCCGGCTATTGCAATCCTTCACCTGGATTTGCATTAGCCGCGGAGTTGTCATCACCAACAAAGGAGCAAAAGCTTCAAATTCGTCAAATCATGGATCGCGAACACAACAATGTCCCGCGCCCAAACAGCCACCATCCCACGACCAGCGGTGACGACAACAGCAATCGTCACCGCCATCGTCATGCCGTCACGAGCAGTGACGTGGAGGGTTCGGTCATCAGCAGCTCCGCCGACTCTTCTTCCCCGCCCCGACCCCCGACCTCCCCGACCGCCGGCTGTGCAGTACCCGGCTACGACCCGAATCGGATCCCGTCCGGCGTCTTCGCGTCCAAGTCGGGGAACGGGATCGAATGGAGCACGGCGTCGAACGAGTCCCTGTTCAGCATCTACATGGGCAACAACAGCTTCTCCAGGGACCAAATTGCAATGATGTATAAATCCGGGGAGCTCCCCATGCTCGATCAAGATTATTACGCCGCCCTTCCCCCAACGCCGGCGGCCAGGACAACGAACAACCAACCACCTTCTTCCCTCTCCGCCGCCACATGGCAGCCTCCCCTGCCTCCTCCTGCCAATCAGCCCATCAACAATATCAATATCATCAACATTCACGTCCCAGCTAATCCTCCGCCGAGTAATAATATCACCATTAACGTCCCTCAGGAGGTACAGCTGCCTAATCCTCCAGCGACCGCAGCCGCCCCAGTTGCGAGCACGCAGTCAGCTGTCAGTTCCCTTAATCGGAATTCCACCTCCAGCAGCAGCAATAATCGGAACTCGACCAGCAGCACCAAATCTTTCCAGTTCCCAATGTGAGTATCTATTGATCAATCAATCAATCAATCAACAATTTCGTGGGGGTTAGTTAAGGGGAAATTAATTAATGTTTGTCGATGGGTTTTCAGATTGCAGAACGAACAAATGGGAAGAAACAGTACAAGGAAAGTGGAAGCAGAGCAGAAGGCTGCAGGGGAGAAGAAGGCAGCGGTGGCAGAGGAGCCAAATGAAGCGGAGACTCGTCAGAACGAAAAACAGGCGGAGGAGCAACAACAACAGCCGGAGCAGCCGGTGAAGACGACGACAGAAGAACCTCAAAGCACGACGTGCTGTAAGGTCACGGCGGCGGCAAAGAGCTGGATGTGTTGCTTGCCCTGTTTCTCCAGGTCCTCTTCATCATGAGTTCATAAACTTCAAATTTTAGAAGCTCATTTCTGACCCTGTTTCGGACATATGTTGTACCAAACAGCCTATATATGTGTTTTTATTTAAAACCTTATTGGTATTTCACTGACAAAAGAATTTGAGTGTAAATCTAATGTATTTATGTACCAAACTGTCTCCAGTTTGTGATTATGTTCAACGACTATCATCATGCATACTACGTAGTACAAGTAATCGATATGCTTTGCTGGAAAGGAAGAAAGAAAACACTAAAGAAAAATCCTCCGAATAATAGCTAGGAAACCATCTCTCAATTAACTGTGCAACCTCTTCTCTATCATGACAACATCCAAAAAATCTACCGAATCGCCGACATCGGAATAAGAACTTCCGATGAGTTGAGTATGTTCCCCATGCCTGCATGGCTACTCCTAAAGCCTACAAAATAGAATTGCCACCCCACTATGGAAACAAACCATGCTGGTATAGTAATCCAGAGGTTATCCATTGCTGGAATACCCAAAACACTTCTACATATATATTTCTAATAAAATGGGGGAAAAACAAGGACGCTTACTTACTCCGACTGGATGAACATTTGATGAACAGTTAAGGCATGCAAACTCCAACACACAGAGAGAAGTCGGGAGTTTTCACGAGGCATTAGCATTATTCGGTAGCCTAGCTGCTCCACCTGAACGGCCGCCTCTACCTCGAACTTGTTGATAACCTTCGCCTCTGCCACCACTTGGATAACCCCTTCCCCTACCAGCGGGATATTCACCTCTGTTGTTGTTGTTGTTGTTGTTGTTGTTAAACTCTGGTCTTCCACCAAAACCCCTACCACCTCCACCGTAGTTCCCTCGTCCCCCTCGGAAGCTGTCATTCCGATACATTCCACCCCTTCCTGTTGGGAACCTGCCTCTTCCATTACCAACTGCAACACCAAGTACATCATTCAACAATTCGGCTTTACAAGTTTATATTACATACGTAACATGATCATTTCATTACCCTGTCTAACTTCAGCATCAATACGAGACTCGAAGAAACCAATTCAAAGTTTCAAAAGATAAAAGAGATAGTTAAACATGGATGCAGAGTCTCAAACTCACCTCGAGTTGAAGTTCTCTTCATCTCAACAATTGATTGACGTCCTCCGACTGGAACAGGAGATGCCTGCAACAACACAGATGACCACAGGAAATATTGAAAAAAATTCTTTCGGACAACAGGACTAAAGATAGTCAAACATTCAAAAGTACTAGCAGCAACAGAACTCCACTTAGCGTCTCAGATTAAGTTCTGGACCAATAAGCAAAGACAGATATGTAAAGTATAAGCAAAAGCAAAAGCAAATCGCAATAAACAGAATCAGCATGGACCACTTCAGCAGTATAGACTTGCAACAGTTAGCATATCTAGGGGAGAAAACATTAGGTCTGTGCCTGGTTCCTAGTTCCATACGTAGCCAGATGGCTGATTCACAAGTAGACAGACTCACTTGGGGATGGTAAATGACAAGCTCGCCATTGAATCTTCACCCATACAATGGTACCTCATTTTGTCATCTCAAATTCTCTTTCACCTCATCACTTTTGCTTCCTAAGTATCTTTCTACCTCTCCCATCCGGTTTTAGTACAATAAGCCAGTCTTGTACTGCTAAAACACATCTACACTACCTTATATGGGAAACAGGGTACCTATAACACGTACCACAGTACATCGGCCCGATGCAAGTTTCCTTAAAACATCTAGAGTACCTAGCTAAGAGGCCAAGGAGGAAAGCAGAGTGCCATATAGCTGGATCTCAGTTCTATTTGAACATCTACGTTTCACATTAGGCTGATGTGATGGAACATATCAAAAGTGACCATATCAAACTAGTTCTTATCTGCGTGACCCAACATGTGCATCATGGAATAGTCAACTAAGTGTGATGAGACATCCAGGTTTTCCCATTTCAGGAAATCGGCAAACTAGCTCAAGAGAATACAGCAAGGACATTATGTAACTGCAAGTGGAAATTAAGATGGATCACAAAGGACATTATGTAACTGCAAGTAGAAATTAAGATGGATCACAAAGGACATTATGTAACTGCAAGTGTCGTTTATATAACTTAGAAACTGAAATAATGCAGAAACTGCCATCATAAGAAACAAAATTGCAACAAAGAGTGATTTTCTGAATAAATGTCGATATTCTGAAAATTATCTTGACATGAGAAGTAGCTAATCCAACTAATCTAACTTGGATTTCAATTTGTTTTGACTAAAAAACAAACGATAACCATGGAAAAAAAAGTAACAAAAAGGTATTACCCAGAACAAACCTGGATTGCATTATTCATGGAGTCCGGAGAAAGGAATTCAACAAAGCCAAAACAATATCCTTGTTGCTGCATGTACCAGAATTATACATAAGATATATCATCATACCTAAGAGAGACAAAGTATAAATAACTTTTGGACTACTGCAAAATGTTTCCAAACCAACCTTATTGTATCTAACTTGGACTCCTCCAGGCTTGATTGGTCCAAATTTCTTGAATTCCACCTCAAGCTGAGAGACAGTCACATTATGAGGCAAATTCCGAATGTAAACGGAGTGGCCCTCAACTGGGAGTAGAAAATAGTTAGATGATATACTTCAAGGAAACAATGGACAGTTTCCAACAACAAAAAAACATGAGTGACACTAATCACCATTTAACTCTTCAATTAATCAGCTTTATTATTCCATGTCCTTAGTTTTGCTTTCAAGAATTTTATATAGACTAAAACTGACATATCACACCATCTCTAGTGAAACTTAACTAGATACAGAATTATTCCATACCAAAACCACATATACATGAACAGTACCGCACCTTCATCTTGATCAAAGCTATCCGTTGGTGCATCATCACTACTTGGCATACGTGATTCAGACTCTGGAGCGGATACCACAGGAACTGGTGGATCCTCAGTTTTCTTAGAGGATGCCTTTGCTGAATTGGTAGGTACATAAACTTTCATTTGGCCAGGACTACCTTTTGGAACTTTAACCTACAACAACGTGGAGTAGATATCAGGACAAATATGGTGAAAAAAATCTCAACTTGAAATCTTTTGAGAAGAAACATACAATTGATGCATAAGATTTCTTAGGAGCATCCTCTTGAGCTGTTGTAGAAGCTGGTTCATCAATCACAGAGGTTTGGTTCCCGTTTGCATGATATTGAGGTTCTACTTGGATTTCTTTTTCCACCATTAACTCATGGTCTGATGGCTCACTTTCATTTTCAGAAGCCTTTGTAACCTCTACCTCAACTGAAGTTGAAGGATCGGGAGCAGAAGGTTCAGGAACATGTGAAGGCTCTGGATGTAAAAGACTACAAAATGTCAGAAGTTCTAGATCTATGAGAAAAGTCTAAGACACATGGAGTTTGAGTTGGGTTCATAAATACAGAGCTGGTCTTACCTGGATCTGGCACTGGGGGAACTGCCAGGGTGTTGTCAATACTATTCGTCGAGAGGTTATCCAGTGGTTCATTGTCCTCAACGAACCGGAAAACATCATTGAGGACAAAATATCCGTTGTCTTGAGGTGCAAGGAAAAATGATTGCGCAAATTTTCTTCTGAAATTGTCCTTGTCTGTTAAACACCCTGTCACCAACACAGTAACTCCATCCTTATAAGATTTCTGGGCATCCGCTGTTCTGATCTCTGCCTTTTGTTCCTTGAAATTCAATGAGAGTATCTTCTCATTAATACCCTGTCACAGAAGGGGGGAGAAGAAGGACAGAAGTTCGACCACAGACCAGGAACCATCGGATTAGTAAATGCACAACATTCGGTTATTAAACACCAACGAATAGTAACAGTGAAAACTTACTTGCATGGTTACCACTGATGTCATTTCACCGTTCCCATCAGGACGGCTTAGCATACTGGAATCGTGGTAAAATCGGTGAACCAACTCAGGTGAGGTATGTAGAATATGGTAATACTGCTCAACAAAGGCATTTCCAACAGTTTGCGCGCTGGGGACACTTGGATTGACTGTTTCCGACGCCATTCTGTTGAAACGAAAGCTCTGTCATTTGTTACATTACCAATTGAAACCAGCCCCAAAGCGCATAGGAAAATGTTAACCAAGAAAAGTAGGCTCTAAGGTTTGACACGTAAAGAACTAGCAAGAACCGCAGATCCAAGGAGGAATACGAGCATGCAGACCTACAACCAGAGAGGGGGGGAAAACCCCAAAATTAATTTAGGTACTTACATTTCATGACAATGTGATTCCAAAATTAAGAATTCCATATTAATCCCTAGCAATTAAATCAAGTAGATCACAAATGAAATCCAATATAGCCCTCGGATCCATACAGCATGAACGACGAACAAATGAAACCCTAAGCGAACCCCCTGAACGAATGCCAAATAACCAGCTCTGATCCCTTCTCTAAATAAAAAGCACCAACGAGTACTCGACAGAGAGACCTAGAAACAGCGGCGTAGCCATCATGCCAGACAGACTCTGCAATCCAGATTCGATACGGTGAAAGAAAGGAGGGGATGCAAATGTACCCGTATGAGGAAACGAATTAAGCTCCGGAAGTAGTAGGGATTTGACGCGTTGAGATGCCGCAGTCCGTTCAAAGTGTCAAGCGAGGAAATGGCGAAAGGAGGGGGAGGAGAAGTCCAGGAGAAGCCGAAGGGAAGGGAAGAGAGACGGAAAGCTACAATCGAACTGTGTGATGTGTGCTCTTTTTTCCCCTGAAGTTGGTTGAGCGAGGTGCAACACTCTGGATTCCGGATCCAGTTCTTTTTCTTCTCTGGTACAATTTGGTCCTCACCGGGTTATGATTGTCATATCTGGCTCAGGGAATGGATTGTAATTGTATCGGGTCGCCAATCAATTCACGTTCCGCTCCCCCGCCCAAAAGGAAAGACATTGTTTGGGAGGTATTTCTACTTTCTAGGGATCCGGTTGGGCGTGGAGGATATGAGTGGATGAGTACGGGAAGGCCCAACCCAAAATCATTTGGGCTTCCTCTATATTCAAAGGCCCAGTGACCCGCAAGGATATAGACGGTATTGGCAAAATCCATTCATTTCAAGGTGTTGGTGACGATGGAAAAATTAATCCCAATTATTATAGGGCTGGATGGATGATAGCAGGGTTTGGCGATTTCTGGTGGGTTAACAGTTAACACTATTTTCAAATAATAAGATAGCGAATAAGTGTTTGGTTAAGTGGTACAAATTAAATATTGGTGTTCGACATATACGGCCTGTTTGGATAGGCAAAAAACTCAAGAATTGAAATTCTATTTTCAATTTTAATTTCATATTTTATGTTTGGAATGATAAGAATGCTGAGAAATGAATTTCATTTAGTCTAAGTTTTGGGAATTACAATTCTTATCAAAAGTAGTAGGAATTGGGTTTGTGAAGATGGAATTAGTGGGTTCCATCATTATTTATTATTATTTTATTAATCAACTATCACTCTACTCTCTTTCTCTATCATTCCTAGTCCATTTCCCAAGATAAAACAAACATATTATATTATTAATTATAGTTAAAAATACAATTTATTTCCAAAGTTGTAGAAAATATACCAAACACAAAAATTGGAAATGGAATTCTATAAAAATAGAAAATGAAAATGGAATTCCATTTCCATTTCTTCAGGAGGAATTGTATCCAAACAGGCCGATAGGTATCATATTGAAATCTTTTAAGTAGCCCATAATTATATACACAAACATATACCATCCTTATATAAAAAAAATGTGGAATAAAAAAGCTTACAACAACCTAATTGAATATCAAATTGTAGTATAACATTCAAGATAATCGATAACTATTAAGTTTAGTTTATTGCATAATATAGCATCATTCTACTCATTTGCAAACGAAAAATAAACATTTTATGGGCAATTTATATGGTATGTCAAGCAAAATTTACAAAATAAATTATTTGATTGAATTCTTCATAATTAATATGTTAAAATAGGAAAAATAAGTATTATTACAGAATGTAAATCAGTGTCATAATATATAGGGTGTTTTTATGGGCCAATAATTCATCGGCCACCCACCTAAATTTTATGTATCACAAAAAAAAAACACACACACACTCACCATATATCCATCAAAACACGTATTTTTCTATTTAACCAAAACACGTATTGGAGAATTATAATTGGGTGACTCCCGTTTAGTGGAAAATCCGTCCATTGGCGAAGCCAAAAATTCGTCGAAATGGAGTCCAAAACAACCCTATATAGAAGTAATCAAATGTGCGCGCATGTCTCGTACTTTATTTCATTAGTCTGAAAATAGAAGCATAATATACTAAATTCATGGAGTGCAGATCGAGAGTCTTCAGACGATACAGTGATTTCAAGGTTCCAACACCAGGTAAAATAACAAGCCTACTGCATCGATATTTATTTCGATCGAGTATACAACTACAACAAAGCTATTTATTTCCAACTCTCCAGAAGTTGGAAATCTCATACCTCATACTACATTCACCAAACAAGACATTTCCTCCAGACCTGCCGGAACAGCCATCTTTCAGGAGCTTGACGGCGTTGGCATAACAGTCGCTGCAATCGGCCGCAGCATCCATGCTACAACAGTAATAGGCGTATACAGGAGGAACGGTATCTGTTTCGACGCAACCCACCCCGTTCCCATTGTTGAAATAGTTACTATCCCCAAGTGAATCGAGCACCTTAGCTTGGAATTCCGCCGCGTTTCCCACGTCGAACTCCTGTTGGCTGCAGAACCCGTTGCTGTCGCTTCCACTGCATAAGCCCAGTTCATCGTTGGAGGTGCACAAAAACGTGTTCACGTAGGAGCTGCTTAGCCCACAACAGTAACACATGATGATGATCAGTACCTGCAAAACTACAACTGCGGCTGATGTTAACGATGACCGAGACATTACAATATCACGACGACAGTACTGTTTATTAATATATTGCGGTGGATGGATTGGATGTGTTTGATGAATGAGCAGATAGAACGAGCCTTCGTGTGCTTTATATATAGACATCACCACTAGGCACTATAAGCTTTTTGCCGGCAGATGCTCAAGTGGAGAATTCTGGTCCGGCCATAGTCTTTCGCGTTCCAGATTCTGGTCCGGCCATATTCTTTCCCGAGTTTCCAGATTCTGTGGCGGCCGGCCTCCGTGCATGCATGAGACAACTAACTATTTTATCACCACTTGTTTCCTTATTAATTGAAAAGTAGGAGACAGAACAATGGCGTCTCTATGGATTTAATATGAAAGTAAAAATATCATCACATAACCACATACATATCCCATAGAAAATTAAATGGTTTTTTTATTATAAAAGTAAAGTATATGTAGAGGTGGTCATCGTTCACATTATGTGATTCGATTTGTAAGGTCAAACATTGGTAAGCATTTATTTGTAATGTTAATATAGTATTTATTCAGATGTAAAAATGATTTCATAATCATTAAAAATGAGTGTATGATATGCACTCAAATTCAGCGTGTATCATATATGCCTAATGTATGTCTTTTAGTGTTCGTGGAAAGGAGAGATGACTGGCATCTCCTCTAATAGGGACGGGAACGACTTTCAGGACTTCTTGTTACCACACACCCGGTTAAGGCTTTCCACCCTCGTGGTGGTTCTGCATCTATGTCTTTTAAAGTAATTGATTGATAAATACGTAAACTGAGAACAATGAGATTAGAGTTCAAATCTATCTTTAACATATTATTCCTTCATAATTAATTTTTTTAATAACTCAAATTACTGAGACCAATTGATTTATGACATGATACTAAAATTGAATTAACCAAGTGGTTATGTGTTTTAATCTCCATAATATTCTCAATATACAGTTGATTAAAGACCAGAATATGTAAGGCATGTGCACTTCACTCCCATGATTTGATTTTCGTTTGAACTCTAATATATTCTCATAGGTCCTCTCCCTTTCTTACATAGAGAGTTTTTGTGAGAGTGTGTCCCTTTTGTGAGGGAAGAAAAAGAGAGGAAGCATATTTTTTTTTCTTGGACATTTAATGGCCTTTATATGGGTTGGAGTTAAGATTTTTTACTTTGATTTGTGCATGTCTTGACTTATAGTTTAGGGGTCGTTTGGAAGTTGTGAATGTTAAATCGTTGCATTGTAATGAATCACCATAATATAAGGGGTCGTTTGGAAGTTGCGAATGTTAAATCGTTGTATTGTAATGAATCACTGCAATATAAATACATGCATTGATACAATAGATGCATTTTGACAATACATTGTTTGGTTGTTGAGATTCTAGTTTATGTATTGATTTGCATAAAGTTACTTTATAGGGAAATGTCACATTTACCCTCACCTTTTAGTATAAAACAAAAAATATTGGGGATATAAATGAAAAGAAAAAGTGGACACAGATCTAAAAAGACGATCACAACAATCTCAACTTTTAATTGAGATTGTATAATGCATCATTTTTTGTGATTGTTGGTGGGGCCTACACAAAACAATACATGCATTGTTTTACAACTTGACACTTCCAAACATTGTATTGTGCTTAATACATGTATTTAACAAACACAACTCTAACAATCACAACTTCCAAACGACCTCTTAGAGGTCGTTTGGAAGTTGTGATTGTTATATTGATACAATGGATGCATTTTAGCAATACATTGTTTGGTTGTTGAGATTCTACTTTATGCATTGATTTACATAAAGTTACTTTTATGAGGAAACGTAATGGACACAAATCTAAACCCAACAATCACAACAATCTTAACTTTTAGTTGAGATTGTATAATGCATCATTTTTTGTGGGACCTACCTAAAACAATGTATACATTGTTTAACACTTTGACACTTCCAAACATTGTATTGTGAACAATACATATATTCAACAAACACAATTCTAATAATCACAACTTTCAAACGACCCCTTAGTCTCTATTTTTTACTGGTTCGTTTGTTTTGTGGATCTGAAAATGAAGATTTTGGTAAATTTTGAGTTTTGAAAAACCATGGATATATGAGGGTTCTGAGTTCATTATGGACTTGAATAACACTATTGCTCATTTAATAGATTTCTTGATGGATTTGGTTAATTAGATTTGTTTATATGAAGTGAAATTGACATTTATTGCCCTCATTAGTAAAGAAAAGAAATAAGAGTGATAAGTTGGTCACAAATGATGAACTTCATAGTCGATGACCAATTCTCACAAAAAAGTTGAGATTTTCAAATTTGTGGATCCCACAAATTGGTTATCCTAAGCAGACAAGAAAATTTAGACAAATGATAAATCCAAATCCATAGCCAAATACCAACCAACCAACAAGTTTGTGTACATGGTTCAAAGATCGTTTGCTTACTTTCCTTTGTGGAGCACATCATTCGCCAGAATCATCGTGGATATATAGCGTTGTTGGCATCTCCAACAACCAATCTTCCAAAAGGAGCCACAATCTAGCACTTGTGGCGGAGCAACAGACAAACAAATGAAGCAAATGCAAGTGTAATTCCACCAAAAGTTACCAATTCCATGTGCAGCCGGCATGTGCACAAATAGGCGAAGAACGAGGAGGAGACGTGATGAATCTCTTCTCTGGATTTCACGGCCATTTACATTGCAATGGACCTTGTTATTTATATATCACGGCCATTTGAGTATGAATCTCAAAGAAAAAATGTCATCCAAATCCTCTGCTCCCACACTGCAAGTTTCAGAACTCTGCAAGGTAGCTCCGGCTACCGACTCGTCGGAATCCGCCACACAATTCACCCTCCCGCTAACCTACCTCGACACCACTTGGTTCAGATTCCCACCAGTCGAGTTGATCTACTTGTACAAACCCACCGCTTCCTCGATCCCCATCCATTCCTTCTACTCCCTACTTCTCTCCAAACTCAAGCGGTCTCTCTCCCTAACACTCGCCCAATTCCTCACCCTCGCCGGCCAACTCCAATGGTCGCCCCCAATCACCCACCCCTGTCGTAATCTACAGTCCAGAAGATGGAGTCTCCATCACGGTGGCCGAATCAACAACCGATTTGGATCGATTGACCGAGCACGCAAATCGTGAAGCCGCCGAATCGCGATTGTATTTGCCTCAATTAAAAGTATCCGAGACGACGGCCTCCATTATATCTCTCCAGATCACTTACTTCCGAAATAGAGGATTTAGCGATAACCCTCGATCACGCGGTTCTCGAAGGGAAGACCATCACCATGTTTCTCAGAGCTTGGGCTTCGATCTACAAGCATGGAGAGAATCATCGGCTCCCAAAGGTGCTCACCTCATCATTCAATCGAACAACGATGGAATATCCAAATGATCTCGCCTTCACCTACTTGAATCGGTGGAATGAAATTATTGCCCGACAGTCGATTATCAGTTACCCTCGTAGGAAGGAGAAGGTGAAGGGAGGAGAAGGGAGGGGGGTTTGGGCTGGTGTGGCGAAAGGAGGGGAGTGTAGGGCGAAAGGGTTTGTGTTCTTGAACATGAAGTTGGTGAAGAGGCAGATAAGGGGTTTTGATGATTGATTAATAAGAAAGGGACATAGGAACTGAGAGAGTCGTCAACCACGGGAGAGAATTCATGCTAATCGTTGACGTCAGCTCGGCGGCAGAGATTGACACGTTCGTCGACCACATCGACGTCGGTGCCACAAGCGGTTGTACCGTCTCCACCTCTAGGTCGACCCGGCATGCCCGTTCACGACCCAGACGATCTAGCAGGACCGCCCCAACTTGGAATCAGGAATGCAAGGTCCCCCTGGAGCTCGGGTTGCTTGACTACGACAGAACGCTAAGCGTGGAGGTGGAGGGGGTAGGGCGGAGGTCGGGTGGCGACCAGACAAAGACGTCGCACGGCGACGCAATCATCGGGAGGACGAAGGTGCAGCTGCCAAAGGAAGGGGGAGGAGAAGAGAGGGAGGTTTGGGCTGGTGAGGGTGGAAAGAGGGGATTGTAGGGCGGAAGGGTTTGTGTTCTTGAACATGAAGTTGGTGAAGAGGCAAAAAGGAGTTTTGATGATTGATTAATAAGAAAGGGACACAGGGAATCGAGGGAGTCGTCAACCACGGGAGGAAATTCATGCTAATTGTCAACGTCAGCTCGGCGATGGAGATCGACACATTCGCCGACCACAGCAACTTCGGCGCTAGTGAGCAGTTGTATCGACTCCACCTGTGGGTCAGCCTGGCGTGCATGTTCTCCTCCCGGACGGTCTAGACTTGGATGACCCCGACTTGTAAGCAGGGATGCAAGGTCCCCGTTGAGCTCGCGTCGCTTGACTTCGACGGAATGCTAAGCGTGAAGGTGGAGCGGGTCAGGCAGAGGCAGGGTGGGACCCATCGGGAAGCACGGTTGCGTGATCGTCGGGACGGCAAAGGTGCGGTTTCCGAAGGTGGGGGAAGAGAAGGGAGGGATTTTTGGGCTGGTGAGGGTGGAAGGAGGGGAGTATAGGGCGGAAGAGTTCGTGTTCTTGAACATGAATTTGGTGAGGAGGCATAAAAAGGGTTTTGATGATTGATTAATCAGAAAGGGACATAAGAGACCGAGAGAGTCATCAACCACAAGAAAGAATTCACGCAATGGCGACGTAAGCACGACGATGAAGAACACTACGTTCGCCGACCACAACATCGTCGGCGTCAACAAATGTTTGTACCGGCTCCACCTATGGGTCGACCCGGTGTGCCCGTTCTCGACCCGGATGGTCTAGACCTGGACCGCCCCGACTTGGAAGCAATTATGCAAGGTCCCTGTGGAGATCGGGTGGCTTGACTACGACGGGGTGCTAAGCATGGAGGTGGAGCAGGTCACGAGGAGGTAGGGTGGCGACCAGACGGGGACGTCGCTTGGCGACGCGATCAACGTGCGGGCGGAGGTGTAGCTGCCGAAGGGGGGGGGAGGAGAAGGGAGAGAGTTTTGGGATGGTGAGGGCGGAAGGAGGGGAGTGTAGGGAGGAAAACTTTGTGTTCTTGAATATGAAGTTGGTGAATAGGCATAAAAGGGGTTTCGATGATTGATTAATAAGAAATGGGCACATTGAACTGAGAGAGTCGTCGACCAAGAGAGGGAATTCACGCTAATCGTCAATGTCAGTTCGGCGGAGGAAATCGACACGTTCGCTTGACCACAACGACATCGGCACCAACGAGCGGTTGTACCGGCTCCACTTGTGGGTCGACCCTTATAACTTTGTTTCTCCTGTCATTACTTGGAAGAAGAAGAAAAAAAAAAGAATTCGCTTAGGGTGTCGAATAGAGTATTCTTTTCAGAGAGGTCGAAATTATTATCAACTATTACATTAGAAATTAATTCAGTTAGTGTGTCAAATAAAGTACCCTTCGGCAGCAGGCCAAAACTATTGTGAGCTATTAGATTGGAATATAATTGGAATAATACAATCAAAATTATGAATCTTTAACGAAATTGTCTTTTATATATGTCATACTTTTCAATATGAAAATTGTGTAATCTTTGAAGCCACTATTTTCAAACAAAAGAAATATAAAAATCAATATTAAAACAGTGGATGACCCATTTCATTTGCAATCACAACAAGAAGTAGAAAGGCAACAACAATAACAACGATTTCGGAGAGAAGAAACAAAATGGAGAGGTGGTTACGACTTACGAGGCCAGAAGCCCGGAACTCGGCCCATACCAGAAATCGTGAGAAGCAAAAAAAAAGCGGGGGATTGGGTTTTATTCCAATGTTTCAATTGCTCCTCTGTGTTTCTTCCCTTTGTAGAAGAACACCAACCAACCAAATCTTCGAATCTGCGATGACCTTCCCAAAGATATATAGCAGATGGATTAGGAATTTTTCACGATGTACGACGTCTAGCAAAGGAAGAACGTTTGGGAATCCTAGCTAAGACTCCAAAATGTTTTGCGGGCGGTGGATAATCTAAACATCGAGATCGATTAAGCAGATGTCAGGGAGGGAATTGATGTTGGAAGAAGGAGAATCTAGATTAATGTGATTCTTTGAACTCGACGCCACAGAGGAAAGTCTAGCGAGTTGGATTACACTGGATTTGGATTGGGATTCAAGGGAGAGAAGGTTGACGACGAGGTCTAAGTCCGCGACGGTGATGATTGTGAGGAGGAGAAGGAGTTTTGGTTGTTCCGAAGAAGAATTTTTTTATATAGTAAATATCCCTTACAATTAATTTAAAAAAGCTCTGTTTTTCTTTTCAACATTAGAGAGCCCACCCGTAGACGACGATTGGACGTTGATTGAGTCTGGCATCTCAATAAAAATAAACTTATGGTAAAACTAATATAACAAAGGTTACATAATTTTCATATCGAAAAATATGGTATGTGAATGGCAAATTCACATACCAAAATCTACATTATTAAACCAAAATTGATGGAAAATCGATTATTTTCTTCTATCAATATCCGTCACATTCTCTACATGGACATCCCCTAGCTAGACCCCGTTTTTCTAATTTGTGAGTCCCATCAACTTCAAGATCGCAACTTCAACATGGACATATGCATACGCGCCCTATCTCCTTTTCCCCATTCTTCACAACCCCGTTGCTGCCATATTCTTCCCTCCAAAGTGCCATATATATCTCCACATACAAACGTACATTCCACAAACCAAGTCGATAACTCAACACACTAAAGATGAAAGATCACGAGATCAAGAGCCTCCACGGCAACAGAAGAGCCCCAAAACGGTCCATCTGCCGCTCCATTTTCACCTCCCCGCTCTTCTACCTCACTCTCGCCCTCCTCGCCTTCTTCGCCGGCTACTACACCGCCACCTCCACCTCCTCCTCCTCCGCCGCCGCCACCACCAACACCATCAACTTCCCCTCACGGCTCGCAGCCACAACCGCCGCCATGACCCTCCCGCCGGAGATCGACAACTTCCGCGTCGCGCCCAACTGCATCGACCCCATCCCCACCGACCTCATCCGCGAAACCCTCCTCACGCGCGTCTACGGCGGCGCGTCCCCCTTCGACAACTTCCCGCCACCCCACGTCGCCAACTCCCTCCGCGACCGCAAACTCAAGGGCTGGGGATCCAAAGGCGCCGTCTTCCGCCACCTCATCGAAGAAGTCCGCCCCAAAATCATCATCGAAGTTGGCACCTTCCTCGGCGCCTCCGCCGTCCACATGGCCACGCTGACACGTCAGCTCGGCCTCGACGACACGCTGATTCTCTGCATTGACGACTTCCGTGGGTGGCCAGGGTTTCGAGAGCAGTTCCAGTTCATCAACCACATCAACGGCGACGTGATGTTGTTGTATCAGTTCATGCAGAACGTGGTGTATAGTAATGTGACCGATTCGGTCCTGCCCCTCCCGTTCTCGACCGGTTCGACCCTTTCGAGGCTGTGCCAGTGGGGGGTGACCGCGGATCTGATCGAGATCGATGCGGGTCACGAGTTTAACTCGGCTTGGTCCGATATTAACCGGGCGTTCCGGCTGTTGCGACCCGGTGGGGTTATGTTTGGGCATGATTATTTTCGGATGGGGGATAACCGTGGGGTGAGGCGGGCGGTTAATTTGTTTGCTCAGATTTATGGGCTGAGGGTCCAGACCGATGGCGAGCATTGGGTGATCCACACCTCCTGATTTTGGTTCTCCCAAGTTTGAAGTCGAATTTTGTTTCTTACTTTTCTACGTATGGATGATTGGTGATATTTGAATGTAGGGTATGATACATAATATCATCCCTACGTATTATTGCTTTTGTTATTTGGGTTCTCGTATTTTTTATACCAAATTGCTTTATTTGCCCAAGTTATTATGTGTATGTGATGAGATTCAAATGATAGAAAAGGTTAATTGTATTTTTCCTCTTTTATCTGAACAAAGAAACTTAACCGTACCCTTCTCGTGTATTCAAACCACACTATCGATCAAACCAACTTTATAGATGGATCGTGATGGTGATGCCTCGGTCAGAGGAGATATCGAGATTCAAGAAATTGTGAATTGTCTTATCAATACACAAATGTATAAGTACTCCCCGGTAATTTCAATTACCCGAAATCAATTTGGGTTTGAGTTTCATAAATATTCAAAAAAAAGAAAAGAATCATGTTCATGGTCAAGATGACACAAACACAATAAAAGGAGTGTAGATAACACTATTAATTTTAACGTGAAAATGCCAAGTTCAAATTCCAATATGAACATATTCCTAAAAAAAAAACATTTTCTTCGGTACAGTTTCATCTGAGCCAACCAAATCCAAAATTTATTTCAGCTACGACACCACTAAATAGATGAAGGTTAGAATAATTTCCCATCATAATAAAAAAAGAAAAACAATAGCGCCCACACAAAAATACTGAATCGCTATTCGTCGCCCTAAAATTCAAATTTTATCGCCCTAAAGTGCACCAAATTGACAATCTTACCCTCTAACCCCAATTTATAACCAAAACCCTAAACAAACAATTATTTACCCTGCCTCCTGCCTAGCTGTCGTGTAACTCAACCCGAACGCTGTTGTCACTGTGAGATTCTTCTCTCCGGCAGCTACCCGCTTCAACCTACCGCCGCTGGTGCTCTGCTTCTACTGCCGGAGTCGGCCATTGGTTGTTGTGTGTTCTTAGGTTAAAATAGGATCTTATATATTAAGGTAGAAGAAAAGCTTGAATCTGGGCAAGGCAAAACGAGCTGATAACCCCAGAAATGACATAAACAGGGTCGTAGGTCCAATATCAATCAGTGCAGATGAGGTTCTAAATCAAATGACATAAATAGAGTTGTCTGAACAACCTTCTAAACTAGCTTGCTTCACTTTTCCTCTACCCTTGCTGGCATTCATCTTGACCTTCCTAGCCGAGTGGCGTGACCGTAGCTAGATCGCAACAATTGTTGTAAGATAAAAGAAGAAATCCAAGAATTAAGCTAAGTTGTATTTTTATTAGGTTAAGTTGGTCTAATCAATCCCTCTGTCCCAACTCGCCGGAGATGGGAGTTTAATCCTTCCGGCCCTTCCAGTGGCAGTTTTGAAAGACAACAATTAAGCTAAGGGTATTTAAGTCATTTTAATAAAGTTAGGGCGACGAATAAGATATTTTAGGGCGACAAATAGCAATGCCCCAAAAATAAGGGCAAAATGCACGGATAGCCACTTAAGCATACTATATGTTGCACGTTCATCAAATAATTTATTTTTATTGCAACTAAACCATGTATATCAAATTTCAGTTGTATCGTCACCATTTTCGTCCCCAATTCAACAGTAGGCACCCAAATGATATTATCCATGCCATGCCACACAGACATTTCACATCAACAGTGTTGCACTGCTGCTGGGTCATATATGTGGGCTACAAATATACTGGGTCTCTTACGAACAAGGCCGGGCTTGGCCACAAGTATTTCTCCTCAATTATATTACAGATGATCATTATTATTTTACATCAATATAAAAATTTATGGTTAGTACAATATATATTTTCTTGAAATCATATTAGAAAAGCATAAACACGATCAATTATAATTGATTCTTGTAAACAAGTACAAATCTTGCCCTATCCAATCTCCATTGCTTTCCCACCAACCAAATTGACTTGGCGAGAGGAAATTGCTGGAATCCAATCATTGTCTTTGTACTAAAATGCGTCACATACTCAACATGGACATCCCCATAACTCGTTTTTCTTATTTCTTCCTCCTATCAACTTTTGGATTGCAATTTCAAAATGGAGACATGCATGCGTACGTACGTAGCACCTCCTTTTTTTTCCCCATTCTTCCTTTTTCCATTGTCGCCGTACTCATTTTACCTATAACAGTTACGCAATCCATGCCACAATTCCTCATTCCACTCCCTAAAGCAAAACCTCCACGCCGGAGTTCCATACACAACACAGAGAAACATGAAAGACGGAAAGGCCCTCCACGGCGGCAACAAACAGCCCGTCAACTCCACAGCAATCTACACACTCCTCATCCTCCTCTCCTTCTACATCGGCTACTTCTACGCCGCCGACGACAACAACAACCGCCCCGACTCCCAACTACCAACAACAACAACAACTGCCACCGCCGCCGCCATGACTCTCCCCGCGGAGCTCGACAACTTCCGAGCCTCGCCCAACTGCGCCGCCAACCCCTTACCCACCCGCCAAATCCGACAAACCCTCATCGACCGCGTCTACGGCGGCACCTCCCCTTTCCACGACTTCCCGCCGCCGCACGTGGCCGGATCCCTCCGCCACAAGAGCCTCAAGGGCTGGGGCTCCACCACGCCCGTGTTCCGCCACCTCATCGAGGAGGTCCGGCCCGAGGTCATCATCGAGGTCGGGACCTTCCTCGGCGCGTCCACCGTCCACATGGCCAAGCTGGCGCGTGAGCTCGGGCTCGACGACACGGTCATCTTGTGCATCGATGACTTCCGGGGCTGGGCCGGGTTCAGGGAGGAGTTCCCCTTTATCAAGCAAGTCAATGGCGATGTGATGCTGTTGTATCAGTTCATGCAGAACGCGGTTTACACCAACGTGACCGGTTCGGTCCTGCCGCTCCCGTTCTCGGCCGGTTCGACCCTGTCCGTGTTGTGCGAGTGGGGGGTGACCGCGGACCTGATCGAGATCGATGCGGGTCATGAGTTTACCTCGATTTGGTCCGATCTGAACCGGGCGTACCGGTTGTTGCGACCCGGTGGGGTCATGTTTGGGCATGACTATTTCATGGTGGGGGATAGGCGGTCGGTCAGACGGGCGGTTCATTTGTTCGCCCAGATGTATGGGCATACGGTCCAGATCGATGGCCAGCATTGGGTGCTGCGGACCTCTTGATTTTGTTTCTTCCAACTCAATACTTTGGTTACTTTTACTTGCCTGAATATTTTGTTCATTCTTTTTCTGCCTATGATGAATGCATGGTGATGAGATCGACTCAAATAATAAAAATGGTATATTGTATCCTTTATAGAAGAAATTTCTTCGTTATGGTTACTTTTCTCGACCCGATCTAACATGATTTCCACTACCAACTCAAGAAATGGAAAACTTACCGAGGAAATCGAGATTTTCTGGTACGAGTAGTTTCATCAGTCAGTACAACACATACCACACAGATTACAACACGAAACGACTCGTCTGAAACTAACCCTACAGATAAGGAACAGAGAGAAAAGGAAACTACAGCTCTGGTTTAGATTACTTCAAACCCATACCAGACACCAAACAACTTACGCTAGAGAACTACTCTGTCAAACACTAACAAGAAAACCAAGAGGACTTCAGTTCTGGGTTCACAACATCAAAAAGAGAACCACAAGAAACAGATCCTGCTCACTGTATGAATATGCCAACTAATCAAACAACAGAGGGCACATTCATGTTTTATTCAAAACCCAGTTTGGTCATTTCGCCTGCTCGCCACCTTCACCAGCAGCCGGGCTACCCTGGCGATCACCACCGGATGTTCCAGCTTCAGGTGGTGCATCTTGTTTATTTGATCCTGCTGCTGAGGGTGCTAAGGGACCACTGCTTCCCAGATTTGCATCGCCAGCTTGCATGGTATGATGCATGCCATTGTTGACTCCCAAGGGCGGCCTTATTCCCATCTGTTGTGCATGAATCGCTTGTTGGTGGTGTAATTGTTGTGGATGATCCTGCATTTGATGTGGGGGGTTGTTATATTGTAATGGCATATTCCTTGGGGGAAAACCCCCTGCCGACTGCTGAGCCATTGCTGCTTGAGCTTGCGCTTGAGCTTGAGCTTGTGCTTGTGCTTGTGCTTGTGCTTGTGCTTGTGCTTGTGCTTGTGCTTGTGCTTGAGCTTGAGGATGCTGCTGCATGTAAAAGCCTCCTTGTTGCATTGCTGGATGTGGAGACATCTGACCCGAGTGGCAAAATGCTTGAGTTAGAGACGTGTCAATAGGAAAAATAGATATGTAGAGGGTCGGAGTTTGTTCAATATACCAACCTGAGGCGGCATGGCAGGTCCCTGTGGCTGGGCATCAGCAATAGCCGCTAGATACATTAGATTCTTCTGCAGTTGTGCTTGGTATCTACATAGTTCAAATCAAGACAAGTAAGAAATCACAGTAAATAGGGAGCACCCAATGCCAATTGAACATACAAAACCAATATCTTAACAATAAATGAAACTTTGGATTCATGAAAATCCAGAGTTCTAATGGCCAATCACCCTATCATATGATGCACAAAACAGTGACGTATCCTGTAAGTTGTCAAAACAAACAGCAACAGTAAAGTACTAGCATCGGACATGTAAGTAAAAGTATCCTTACTAAAAAGTAAAAAGAAACAAAGAAACAACAAACAAGGCTGCATGACTCAAAGACAGACTAATACTTCTGAAATCTTATCCCACCCTAAGAATATGCTTGCTTAAAACAGTGACACACCAACAAACAATCAAGAATGAACAGGGCAATCACATTGGACGAGGAGATGGCAGGAATGTCATGGTGGCAGGAAGCAGTTGTGGTCAGAACAATTATGAAGATGTATGCCACTGCAGATTATGAGTCAATTGCTCTATTCTGGAGTTTGAGATGGAACTCAAAGACATTTCTAGGTTCCAGGTTTCTTGGAGTTCAATTACAATATTAGTGGTTATCTTCAGTTACAGACGGTATACAAGAAGAGTAAAAAAGTCAAGCACACATATGTCAGATGCATTAGCAAATGACTTCTTACTGGGCACATTCAGTCAGCTTGCCGAGGTTTTGATTGTCCAATATTGCTAAGATCAACTTTTTGTTCTCATCAAGAAACTGCATCAAGCATTAAATACAGAATCGAGCGTTAGAAAATCATGCATGCATAAGATTATAGCACAAGCCGTAGATTGTCAAATACAGGGCAAACAAACAAAAAACGACTGGTAACACGTGGAGTCTGCAATCGATTGAAAGATCATAAATAGATGAATTAAACAACTTGCCCTACTTACAATGTTTAGAGCATCAACCTGACAGAAATTCCATGGCAACAAACATTTCAATAGATCCACCAAGACAAGATAACAAGGCGCCATCGTCACGTGTACAAATACCATTTCCTAACATTAACACATCAATAAAGATAGAATACAGCTTAACTTTCCCATACCATGTCAACTCTAACTTAATGCGATGCGTGCGTAAGATGGCCCAAACCTACTAATACACTAATAAGTACTTGCCATATAACTTCAGAAGAATACATTCTAACAAGGCAAACTTGTATGTTGTCTCGGTTTCCTGGTCACAGAAACAGACACGCAACAGCCAACATCGATGACCCAACAAAAAGGTAAAACATAAAAGCCGTAAGAAAAATACCTACAATGGCACTCTTAATCCTCAGAAATTTCCTACATACGCATCATGAAGTGAGCTACATCACCATCTCAGATAATTCCACTAGCAACACTTGACATTGGTAAGTGCCTTGGCAGTGCAATCCCATACCCTCAGACATCATTGAGCAATCAAGTAGATAAAAGTCGATAATCTGAAATGGGCACAGAACTAAGAGCAGAAAACACCAACTTTTCAAGGAACAAGCCCGTTGCTTCCTGATTACGAGCTAATGATTACTACTACTACTACTAGCATCTACAAGCCAGACATCCAATACTTAGACCCAATCATTTCTTCTCAAACGAAAACCGTAAAGCTCTAAACTTTCAGCTGAAAAAAGATAACTCAATCGCAACTACACCCAAGAACAGAGCACATAAATGAACACCATACTACAAAAATATACCTTCTGGATCTGCTCAGTAGTGATGTTGGAAGGCGGAAACGAGGGCATCATGGGCATCATCTGTTGTGGCTGCTGCATCTTTTGTTGCATATGGTCGCTTTGTTCTCCCCGTTTGGCTACCCAAGAACCCTAAAAAGAAAAATCCCTAATTCGAGAAACCCCAGCGCCAAATACCAGGCGGAGAACCGGGCGGCAAACAATCAACGTTGCTCGACGATGATCCGGCTAAACCCACCGACGAGGCCTTCGTTGAAAGCTTGAATGGCGCGTCGTTCCCGTAGAAGACAAAAATGGCAGAGTCGCTACTTCTCCACTACTTCCTCGGCGGTTTCTCGATAAAGAAGGGAAGAGACGCTGTGGAGAAAGGTTGGTTAGGTAGTCTATGTCTTAATTTTTTAGTCTTCTTTGTCTCTTACTGCCGAAAGGCCCGGCCCGTTAGGGCGGGAAATACTTGATATATTATCAAATTAAATTAAACTAATTGTGTTATTAATATTTTTATTATTGTTATTGGGTTGTATTATTAATTTATTATTGTATAAAATAATTTGATTACAAATCAGGTAGAGGTTGTGCTAACGACTAATTTGTTATTTAAACATAATTAATTTGTGTTATTAATCTTTTTATTGTTATTGGTTTGTATTATTAATTTATTATTGTATAAAAATGTTGGATTACAAATAAGGTAGAGGTTGTGCTAACACCTCATTTTTTTAACAAAAATAATCATATTGATTTATAGAAAAGATCAAGGATTACATCCTAGAACCAACTAAGAAACGAAAATCATAAAATCGAAATGAAGCCAGAGGCAAAGAAAGGGTCTTTCTAGCCACTGAATGAGCTGTCCTATTGCTAATCCGACCCGCAAATCGAACATGAACCACTATTCAAAGCCATCATACTCAGAATCTCTTGAACAATTACACCAACACGGTTGTCTTGCGCATCTTCGATATTAATTTTATCAATGAGCACCTTCGCGTCACCCTCAAACCGAACTTGAGCAATGCCGAGATCCTAACACCACCGAATAGCTTCACGGAGGACAATAGTCTCTACCACAAGCGGGTCAACAATATTCTCAAAAACTATGCCTCTTGCTAAGACCACAGACCCTCCATCATCCTTCGAGATCAACCCTCCTGTTGAATGCGAGTCAGCACATACCGCACCATCTCACATGCAGATGATAGAGGGAGAATCTACCTCCCCTAGATTTTGTTGCAAAGGAACCCGATCTTGGAGCAACCTATCCTCTGGTATGGACACCCATTCATGAAGTTGCTGATGGTACTAGCGCATCAGTTGAGGAATCAGGAACTACTTACCTTCGAAGGCAGCCCAATTTCTATATTTCCAAATATGGCACAGAAGCGCCACCAGAGCCATAATCTGATCCGGCTGGGTCATCATAAGAAAACATTTCTCAAGGAAAAACGGAAAACTCTGGTGCAACCCTGCCCCAGATGCTCTAATCCCGAGTGATTCCAGAGGGCTGCAACGATTGGACACTCCCAAAAGAGGTGTTCCATCGTTTCATATTCCGTCCAATACACCATTGAGGCAAAATCTGGACCTGTTTCTCAATCAGAGCTTCAGTAGTAGGCAAGATACGATTGCAAATTTGCCACGTGAACAATTTTAACTTAGGCGGGATCTTAAGCGCCCATATCCGCATCCAACTCGTTCTATCCATCCAGCTTACTGTGGGTCGCCACTCCATTACCTGTATATCCACCAAAACCGCAAGGTGATAAGCGGATTAACAGTGAACACCCCTTCACAAGTATCATGCCAAATCAACTTATCCTCTACTCCTCCACGGGGTAAGGGAATTGCCGTGATACAACGAACTACGTCTGGGGGAAACATATGCAAAAGAGACGGAAGCCTCCAGCTCCCCCTCCCCCTCTGGATCAATAAGCTCGGCCACCTTTGGGTCACTCCCTTCCAGGATGGCAAGAGGATTACAATCCGGAGGGCAATGATGGGTACACGGGACCCAGCTGGAATGTTGCTTAGACGCCTGAAAACCATTTCCAATTTGCCACCTCAATCCTCGTTGAAGAAGGAGGCGGCCATGGAGAATACTCTGTCATCCACAAGATGGGCGAGATCTCACGGTCGTTGTTAGGAAAGTGCCTGTCGGAAAGAATTTCCTTTATAAATCTGGGATAGGAGGGAATCTGGTTCGTGAAGAATCCTCCATCCAATCTTAGTCAGGAGAGCCTGATTAAAATGCTCGAACCGCTGAAATCTCATCCCCCCATCATGTTTACTTGTGCATAAGTTCCACCAGGAAATCCATTGACCCGAGGACAAACACCCTTCAACTCCCCACCAAAATTGGGCCACATGTTTATCTAGAAGGCGACAAAGGGGGAGAGAGAGAGAGAGAGTTTGAAATAGGACATAACATGAAGCGGCAGAGACAAAACAATTGATTTAATCAACGTCTCCTTCGCCGCCCATGAGAGCACCTTCTGTTTCCAATCCTGTAAACGTTCCAACAACTTCTCCTCCAGATAACGACATAGCCATCTTGGACTGAGCAACCAAAGTAGGTAAACCCAAATATTTATCATGCACTCCTACCGCTCCTACACCCAGTCTATGAGCAAGGGATTCTTGATCCACTAGCAAAGTATTCTTACTAAAACACACCGCCGATTTAGTCAGGTTAACTCATTGCCAACTAAGCTCCTCATATTCATTCAAAACCTCCAACATATTATCACATTCCTGCATCAACCATCTGAGGAAAAGGTATGAATCATCCGCAAAGAAGAGATGGGAGGCGCACAGGGCTCGTGGACTAACCCGGACACCTGCTAGCTTCAGCTCCTCGATGGCTTTATGGAAGAGCGTCGCAAACCCCTCAGTGCATATGACAAAGGTGAGGGGAGACAGAGGATCATCGTGTTAGAGTCCCCTCGTCGAATTAAAATATCTAATCGGAATGCCATTCATCATAACAAAAACCAAAGTGAAGCGCAAACATTCCTCAATCCAACGTATCCAGGTCGACTTAAAACCCATTTTTCCTAAAACCGCAAGTAAGAAGGACCATTCGACTATATCGTAGGCCTTTTTCATATCAACCTTCAGAGTCATATGCCCTTCTTACCCTTAGTTTTTATCTTAAGGTAATGCATCAATTCGTGACCAATAAGAACATTATCCACTATCTGTCTTTCATGAATAAACGCATTCTGTCCTGGCGAAATTATCTGGGGGAGAAACAGGGCCAATCGTTCAGACATGATTTTGTCAATGATTGTATAAACGAATTGGCATAAACTTATAGGTCTCAACTGACTCATATTTACCACATTATCCACTTTGGGAATAAGCGTTAGCCAAGTGTGATTGAAGCTTCGTAACATCTGCCCTTTCCTAAAGAAGGAACTTACAGCTTCCACCACAGACTCTCCTACGACATCCCAATATGTACGGAAGAAATTCCCAGTGCTAACACCTAGTTTAGCATAATTAATTTGTGTTATTAATCTTTTTATTGTTATTGGTTTGTATTATTAATTTTTTATTGTATAAAAATGTTTGATTATAAATAAGGTAGAGGACGAGAGGTTTTGCTAGTGCCTAATTTTTCAGTATGATGCTAATTTTAATTTTGATGAATATAAACATTTTTGTTCTGATGTCTTTTTAATTTCAATGGGTTGATCATAATTAATGTAAATTTATAAAAGTAAGGACATGCTTGTCATTATTAAAAATTAAGAGGAGCACAAACATTACTTCCATCTCATCAAAAGTATCATAAAGCATACCACAAAACACATATAAGAAAACACAACAAACCACACAAAAAATACCATAAAACAAAGTAAAAACTTATAAACCATACTAGAACATTACCACACCATCAAATTCACAAAACATACTAGAAACTTCAAAACATACCACAAGTTTCATAAAATATTTCGGAGACTTCATAAATCATACCTATAAGGAAAATGTAAGGCTCTTTCTTCGACGCCAACGAGACTATAGGTTTAGTTTCATACTCATAAACGACGACATATAATTTGTCTTCAAATCACAGCAAGGATATCTCATAAAAAAATCTCATACAAACAAGACATTTTGGTAAATGTCTAATGAAATGCATTATTTTCTAAAAAAAATTATCTCATTTCAGAAAAATTCCATCCATCTTACCCAAAGAGGAGAAGTCTATAAAAAAGCTAGGTAACATAAATGAGAAGGGATGGCTTGCCCAGAGCATAACAAGGTTATTCGTAAAAGATAGAATACGATAAAAATTAGGAACAAATCGATTCGGCTCACCGAAGATCTTAGGAACAATACTCCTTCCAAATCATGCAAAATGTGTAAAGCCTTCAGAATAAACATCACATGCAATCAATCTAATTTACTTTGGCCACTTTGAATTAGGAGAATATCAAACACAATCTTAGGACAAAAAAGACCAAAAAAAAACAAGACAGATGTTCTATTGTCTTAATATCAATAACGGGTAAATTGCAATGTTGGTCACTGGAATTATTAAAAGTTGTCCATTCATTTTTGCTTACGTGGCGGTCAACTTTAAAAGTTGTCCGTTAAATTTGTGACATGGCAATATAATATTATAAACTATTGAAAGTAAGAACAAAAAAGGAATCCTCCTCCGGATTCCTCCCTGCCTCTGTCTGTTTTCTCCGTCGCCGCGTTCTCCGACGTTCTTTCTCACTTTCGACTCTCAATCCGGCTTCCCTGGTTTGACGGTAGTATGAGTAGTATCCTTCACTCCAGTATCTCCCTCCTCTTACCTACTTTCCTCTCTCCGCTGGCCATTGCATCAACGATGGATTTGTACTCTGAACAAGCCACCGATTCCCAAGCTCCGATTCCAAACTCGCTACCACACGACTCGTCGAACTGTGATTACATTGTTGTTGATTCTGCCTTTTAAAATTGAAGAAATGATTAAATTCTCCTTCTTTCTATTGACAGCTTCCAATCTTTCATTTCTAGGGTTCTTC